AGCAAACTCCACACACAGATTACTGGTGGGGATTTGTGCTCTCTGCTCCTTCCTTCCTTCCTCCCTCCTTACCATCCAAGCAAACTCCACACACAGATTACTGGTGGGGATTTGTGCTCTCTGCTCCTTCCTTCCTTCCTCCCTCCTTACCATCCAAGCAAACTCCACACACAGATTACTGGTGGGGATTTGAACCCTGGTCTCAGGGGTAGGAGGCAACAGCACTAACCACTACACCACCATGCCACCCACACTGGGCTCATTTGAGCTAAAAAATATGTCATGAAAAATACCATCGTTAAAAGAAACCGGTAGCAACCATGCAATAAAAACTTTTTAAAGATAGAGCCCTTTGTTCTTAACTTTTGTCACAAAATTTAAGGTTCACACATTTTCAGATTTTTACATGGTGTTTCATTTGCTCAAAATTCTTGATTTTTTTTTACCCAAAGAGGAAACCCCATTATTGACGAGTATTACCAACAGTGCATGAGTAAACTAGGCTGTAGTCAGATTCTGCTGTATGGACTTGGTGCTGTTGTAGCCATTTTTTCAGCAAAAACTGCCTGAAATTTATTTTGATAACTTGTAGTTATGGACCTTGACCTTGTTGAAAAACTGCCATTTTAAAATTTGACTCATAACTAAGGACCACCCTTTGCAGGGGCTTATACGAGGGGGGATCCCATAGGGACACTGCCCCAGCTGAAAGCTGATTGGCCCCCACAGTGTTCCTTCCCCTGTCACTTACAGATTCAACACATATCATTGGCTAATAAGGTTGGCCCCTCTGTATGAATCGTGGCTCCTCTCATGTCGCCCCCCCCACCTTAAAAATCCTAAAATTGCCCTCGTCTGTGTGCCGGTCTCTGCGTTAGAGCTCCCTTCAGTGGTGATGGTGTGGGAGCGTGCAGGGGGAGGAACAGGAAGTGGTCTGTGTCACAGGTTCAAAGCCACTTTGATTCAGGGCCCCTCATTGCAAGGGTTGCCGAGGTGTGGTGGGAAGATGCTCCTGGAGAGGAGGCCAATGGTCTGGCTCAGCAGTGCAGGCTCAGTGCCCGACATCGGAAGGTTGGTGGTTCGAATCCCGTAGCAGATACCAGTGTTATGAGCTCACATGCTGAGTTCATCCCAAATGCCAATTTCACTGACAAGATTCTCCACGCATCCTGGAACAGACCTGAGCACATCAATTATTCTGTCCATTCCGGCAGTTCTGGATCAGGCCGGTTGTTCTTCGCTGCTCGTGGTGCCCGCTTTCCTTCTGTGTTATCAGTAAACTGGCAGTGAACCGCAATGGTCCCACAATGAAGTACCTGAGTGGATCACAGAGCTTTATCATGTGAGTGAATCTGGCAGCAAAGCAGCACTGACAGCAAACACCAACAGGGGGCGCACATCATCCTGTTTTAATGCTCTCCTCTAGGATTTTAATTAACACACATAATCACACTGCCACCACCACGGTCAGTCTTCTCCATTTCCATTTTGAGCGTGTGGCTCAGTGGGCTAAGCATGTGTGCTTGTAATCACAAGGTCGCCGGTTCAAGCCCAGTCTCAGCACATCTGCGGGTCCTTGAGCAAGGCCCTTAACCCCCAGCTCCCTGGGCACCCCAACAGGTGGCTGCCTTTCACAGACAGCTTGTTCTACAAAGAGCAAGTTGATGGAGGCGTAAAAAGAATTTCCCCATGAGGGACAATAAAGGTTAAATTATTATTATTATTATTATAGCTTGGACCTCACCCCACACACGAAACACTCTAAGGATTGCCAACGCCTTGAAGTAAATTCTGCCACCCGACTGCAGGACAATAAAATCACTCCCATATGCCACATCTAAGCCCCAGCAGACTTCTGGAAAACCCACCATGACCAGAAGAGTGTGCTGGAACTATAGGCACACTCACCCCAGCTGAAAGCTGATTGCCCCCCAGAGTGTTCCTTCCCCTGTCACTCACTGATTCAAAACATATCATTGGCTAATGATAAGCTTGGCTTCTCTGGAGGGATTCTCCACCATGCCAAGCCAAGACAGATGGCACGCAGTGGACCAGTATGAGGATATTAGCCACTGGCAGCCAGTCTCTTCTTGTCCCTTGAAGCATTAAAAACTGCAGACATTGTACTGCAGCCAGTGGCAACAGAAGCTTGCATGTAACAGGATGTAAGCAAGCAGCTGCACAGTGATTCCTTACAAAGGAAATTCAATCAAAGCAAAGTTGAAAGAGGTACCTGGTCTGCAAGCATTTAGCTCCTTGCCCTCACAGGAGAGTAACGGCAGATACAGACTTAAAAGGAACGCAATCTCACGTCGCCATCGATTTGATCTCCAGGCCATCTCCCACTGCCGACTGCTGACAACATCTGCTCTCGGTCCTGTGCCGAACACTACAGATTGCATCTCTGGATTTGCGTTCCTATATCTGTGTCTTTTAAAGAAAGAAAAAAAATGCTTCCTTAGCGTTTGACGCGCATCTTGCACTTCCCAGCAAATCATTTTCACGTGCAGAGAATCAGGAAGACAGAGTCACAATTACGGTATAGCGGTGGGGTCAGTTTGCCACAGCATTTATGCCGAAACTGTGCTACAGTATCATTCCTGCTTTGTCATTAACTCTGGAATTGCAAGCCGTGAAAGTACCCCCAGATTTATTGACGCACCGCTAGCAGTAGCATACATAAAGGTAATGTAGTCTCTTCTGATGCAGATGTACGTTATTCTGTTTTACAGAAAAGTGTATAAATTGTGTGCATTGGTTTGTGGTGTTTTTGTAGTTTTTATGCCAGGCTTAATTGCGTAATAACGATAAGAAGGTTTCCAGCCACAATGGAAGCCTTGCTGGCTGATGTGCCCTTTAATAGGTCTTAATCAATGGCTCAGTTGTATCACAGCTATTTCGCCATGGGCGAGTGCGATGAAATAAGAAAATAAATTTGGACAGTAAGTCACTTCCACCAGTTTTACCGTCAACAGGCTTCTGAATACTGCTGTACTGATGCAGAATTGTCCTTTGTTGGGGATATGATGTCAGAATAATTGAGAAAGATGGATCTGTAAGGCTTTTTAACTGTCAAGTCGCAGCTCACTCTAACATGTCCTGTTATTTGTAGGTAGCACATACATGCGACACACGAGTCAGAAGATGGACAAGAAAAAGGGTAAGATGACCTCCACTGATGCTGTCAGATCATGAATGAATGATTCCTCCTTGCTTTTGGTCAACAAATTTTACATTTGCCATATCTGAAGACATATAAGCATTAATACAAACAGTAGTGTAGAATTACATGTTTTGTAGGTGAAAGCAAATATTAAAATAAGCTGATTGCTCCGTTTCAGAGAACGGCTTTTCCTCAAAGAGCTCTCAGGCCGGCGACACAAGCCAGCAGCTGCCGTACACTGTGGAGACACCCTACGGGTTCCAGCTGGACCTGGACTTCCTCAAATACGTGGAGGACATAGAGAGGGGCAAGACCATTAAAAAGATCCACATACATCGGAGAAACAAGGGGCCCAAGTTCAGCACATTGCCCCGTAACTTCAGCCTTCCTGCCACTAGCTACCAGTCTGGCTCCCAGCCTGATGTGTGGGCATCTTCCAGCTGCCTTGGATCCGGTGGCAGGACCAAGTTTATGGAGGTCCAGCAGATCTTTGACTTCCAGGCTTCTGACAGCAGATCTGCAGCCAAACCAAAGGCAGGAAGGACCGGGCACACATCCAGGAAGCCAATGGATGATGCCAGCATCAGAGCCTTTGATGAGCAGCCCCTGGGCATTCCCGTCAGACCACACCTGCTGAGAGCATCCAGCATGCCTGCTACTGTCCTTCAGAGAAAGAACTCGGAGCTGGATGATCAAGAGCTCCAGGCCGCCTGGGAGCCCAGTGAGGAAAACAGCTCCTCCGAGAACGTGTTTTGCTCCAGCACTGCAGGAGACGGCAGGAGTCCTTCACAGCAGGTTAACGTTAAACTTCAGCAGCTACACATAGCTCTGAAAAGGATCAGAGAACTGGAGGAAGAAGTCCAAACCATCCCTGAACTGAAAGCCCAGATCCGGGCGCTTAAGGAAAAGAACGATCAGTGCCTTCTGAAACTCTCCCAGAACATGCGACATGTGCCACCTGATTCCCAGAAACAGGCTACTGAGGTTAGCAAGGCGTCCAGCCGGACAGAAAGCGTCGTAGCACAATTGGTTTCTCCTTCAGCTCTCCAGGAAACTGATCACCAATTTTCAGAATCCACACAGCAGGTACAAGGAGACCACGGTACATCGTGTAAGGATTCTTCAGCAGAAGCAGCAAAGCTATTAGAAGTAAGGGTAGAAACCCAACCGGAACAGCGGGAAGAAGCAGGACACGCGGTTAAGTTACAGGAAGTGACTGCAGCTGTGAAACTGGGCGGCAACATGGACCTGTTCACTACTGCGTCTCTGCAGGCAAAACTCGTAGCTCTTGAGCTGAAGTTTGCTGAATCCGGCATGGAACTCGAGAGAGTCAACGCTCTATTAAGGGATCAAATGGAGGAGAACAGGCTGATGAAACAACGGCTGAAGCAGAAAGAGGAGAAGAAGCTGGAGAAAGAAGAGAGAGACCAGAAATCTGATGACTCTGTGGAGACAAAGCTGCCATCTGATTACGTTCACACCTGTGAGGCACCAGGGAGCACAGATTTAGAATGTGAGGCTACATCTGAAAAAAGGGCTTCAACTGAGGTAGAGGCTTGCTTGAGTGAAAGCTCCAACAAGCAGCTCGAAGACCTGAAGACGACCAGCACACAGACAGACCCAACCGAAACTCAAGATGCAGGTGTATTGGTGAATGTCCCCACGGCTGAGAAGATTGTGGAAGCCACCATTGCCATGTGTGACATAGCAGTCAACACAGATTCTGGGAGGAAATCATCAAGTGGGCCTACTGCAGAAGACATGAGGTCAGAGGGAATGGAGGGAGGCCCTCTGGAAGCTGCATCTCAGCCTGAGGTGAACCCAGAGTGTGCGGCCAAAGATCATAAAGAAGAGGCCCAACCTCAGGGAGAGAGTGAAGAGGAGGCTGTGGAAGCCACCATCAGCCAATACGTCAGCAAGATACAGGAGCTCCTGGAGAAGCAGTGGGCCTGCCTGCCCAGCAAGCCCCCAGGAAGCATCCCCAAAGACCTGAGCTCAAAACTCAGCTCCATCCACGCCGAGCTCGTCAGCACAGTCAGTGTCCTCTCCTCCATCTGCTGTACGTCAGGACCGAACGCGGCACCCTCAAAGGACGGAGGTACGGTACCTCCAACTGCCAGCTGATTCTCAGAATCTTACGTGCGGAACAGACGCAGGTCTGTCAAACCCCAAGCAACTCCATCAAACAGATGTTACTCGGCTTGGGTCGGGCAGATTGAGCTTCTGTTAGCAGGTGCCTCAGTCACTCCAAAGCCTATTGATTTATGATCACAAGGGTAGCAACATATGTTACAGCGTGGTACAAATGACACTGCCAAAGAGCTCCCAGGCATAAATTAAATGTGCTGTTTTCCCAGCCTTGAATTTTGTGCTCTTATCTCAATCAAACAGAACTCAGACTCCGATTTCAAAGGCACATTATGTAACAATTAGATTATGAAATCCTGCACATTACATCTTAAATTCTATTAGCCTGGAACGCTTAGGTCAAATTACAGTCCTAATTAAAAGTAGAATCCATTACCTTGCCTGCAACCGCAGAACTGTAGCAGTTTCCAGTTTTTAGAATAAAATTACTTTAACATAGACCATGATTCCTGTCTGTTACCTGCATTTTAAACAGATTTTGTTATTCTCTTTGAAAAGCACAGCAAGCCCTTAAACTATTTACTCAAACGGGATGAGTTCTGAGTAGGAGTAGGAGCTACACCGGTATCATAGTTATTACCGATGTGATTGTGCGCTACAATATGGATATTTTGCACTATACCTTTATCGGCGCAGTAAGTCAATAGCCCAATTATACAACAGCCGATTTTAAAAAAAAAAAAGCATTTTATTTTCTTCCAAGCTTCAGTTGTTAAACTGAATCAGAATGTTAAACCCCTTTAACCGCCAAGCAAGACGTACTTCGATGTATGCAGCCCTTTTGTTTGCGCTAATTCGCCATTAGTGTTAATAACAGCAGCGAATCGAACACCCACAACTAATAAGCCGTAATGTTCCTAATGACATAATAGAGTAGCTGCTCTGTCCTGACATCGTACAGCTGAAAAGTTTCCAAACGCAGTATGTTTTTCATGAAATGTTGGAGCCCCTCCCATGTGATACACACTTGACACGTCCATGTTTTTGTCCACTACATGTAGATTTATTTCCTGTTTGCAAAGTAAATATAAACAGGACATTCTTTCTGCTTCCACGAGGTACAGTCTTACAGTGAGTTACGCCTGATTGAGTCAGGTCTGATCGCATTTACGTCCGAGGTCCTTAGCAAATGAAATACACGGATCAAGAAACGCCGGACGTGGACGCAGGACGTTAGCTGGTGTATCACTTAGTGTAACAGGTGCAGGAGAACAGGCAGCGCTGGTATCCGTATAATGATCCATTGTCCATAATAACTTGTAATACAGTATGCATACAGTAATCTATATGTGATGGACAGCTACAAAATCGAAATACGCCCAAATTGACTTGCACGTGGTGGTCCTGATCCCATAATGCAAACGTAAGTCAACACAAGGCTGTATTAAAAAAAAATAAACAATAATAAATGACATGCAGTCAATAACCTCATTTCCAAGAATTCCTGCTCCATGCTTCCAGAAACAATCACCGTCACCCAGATCTCTGTAATGCATCACGCGCATTTCCTCTGTGCACTAGAGGCTAAAGCGAAGCCATAGGGCGGCGTGCTCAGCAAGAAGCTCCTCCAGGCTTCACAGCCAACTGCTCCATTACTTCCACCCTCCCTGCTTCAGCCCTCAGGTCGATAATGAAGAAGAACAGCAGCGCTGAGCAACTGGGGAGCAGGGGCACCAAGAAGAACCTGAAGTTCGTTGGCGTCAATGGGGGGTAAGAGGGCCGCTGGCTCCGTCCATCTATAACATGACGACGTGTATCATGTGTGCTCATACTGAGCTTGCAGGTAGAGTAGCTCCAGGGCAAAGCTGGACATTGCCCCACAGAAATCCTGGTTAAGCACTATTCTTGAGGCAGCAACCTCAAGGAACCAGAACCTACAACCCTCAATCAACAGACGGAGGCTCCAGTCCATCGTCACACAACCCTGGGAATCTAAAAGAGTTTCATTCCTCTACATAATATGCCTCTATTCCACTTAACATCTGGATTTCACCTTCAGGCAGATCTCAGAACTTGACACCAATATTTCAAAGAAATATACAGCCTGATATCAACATGTAGTGAAAGCACCTTCATAATTTATATAAGACTGATAATTTGTATTAGTTTGACATCTAGGCACCATCCACCACTCACCAAGGTTGACAGTGGGAACCTGTCAAATTCCTACTATAAAAATACCAGGCTGTCAAATGGAATTATGCACAGAGATAGTGCCAGAGAGGCTTGGAGGAGTCTGTTGAAAGAATTCCGATATCCTATAATTATGTGGGATTTTACCCCGACTCTCCTGGCTTTGGGAATCAGGAGGGTGAAATGATTCTGACGTCAGCTCCATGTACTTCACAGTAAATACCTCAAACACGCAGGAGACACTCACGCCACACTCCATGTTCACGTAACTGGCTTTCATAGGTGCCTTTGGGCATTTAGCAAACTAAAATGGATTTGTAGTGTATTGACTGATATTCTATTAGTTATATTAGTTGAATATCTATGAATGAAGAGTGCTTTTTTTATATTCTTCAGTGTTACAGTCAGAGTAAGGTTTTAACTTCAGTGGCCTTCAGCACAAGCAAGTACTACATAGAGAAGTGTTTCCCAACTCAGTCCTCGGGGAACCCCGGTCAGTCCACGTTTTTGCTTCCTCTCAGCTCCCAGCGCACCTGTACCAGGTATTCGTTGTTCCTGGTTGGCTGGGAGCTGGGAGGGAGCAAAAACGTGGACTGTCCGGGGTTCCAGGCCAGGAACTCCCTGGGGACTCCCCACACGCATCACTCACGCACTAACGCCCGTCAGCTGGCAATCGGGGTGGGTTACAGCGGGTAAACAATCATGTGGACTGTCCGGGGTTCCCCGAGGACTGGGTTGGGAAACACTGACATAGAGTATTGATCCACTTGTAGCCTTGGTTCTCTGGCTGGTATGTTCCGTTTATTAGTCTGTGTCCGTGTGTCTGTCATTGGCCAGTACATCTTGCCGACATCCAGATATTTCTCCCTAGTAGAAAATTAACTGATTTCAAATCAGGTTTTGACAGTTGAATTATTGCTTAAATTATACTCCACTGGCTTTGACTATGGACCGACTGGTGAGTAATATTGACCAGTTAATACCAGTGGAGTCCAACTAATAAGTCTCTGTAATGAGTGTAGACAAACACAAACGGAATTCTTGGAAGTGGAATTACTTTTTGCTAATTTTCTGTCCAGGTATGAGACAACGTCCAGCGAGGATTCAAGCGAGGAGGACAATGCGGAGATGGACGTCTTCGAGCCTGAGGAGCAGAAAGAGGATGGTGATAAACAGGAGACCAGCGAGACAGTGGAGCCCGACAAGGCCGCTACCCCCCCAGAACCCGACACGGGCTCCCAGACAAAGCAGGCGGGCCGGTAAGAAAACAGAACCACACCCATCAGATGCTACGCTAACAAACAAGAACAGGGACTTTTCCGGATGGTCATCTGTACTGCTATGCTAACATTTGTGCCAATGGTTGATTATTCTGCTACGATAAAGTAGGAAAGGGCACCTTTGCTGATGGAGCCGCGCTGCCACACTAATGGAACAGGGAAGACAACATTGACGATAGCTACTAATAAGTTGCCATTGCTCTCCCTGCTAACGGACGGCTATGCTACGCTGCTACGCTAACTGTGTCCAGTGGGCGCCATCAGGCCAAACAGCTTCAAAGGGCACAATAACTACAGCAGCCGGAATTCAGCCACTACTGGGAGTCTTTCGGGAGTCGCGTCCAAACCGATTACAGCTACACTAGCTATGTGAAGTAAATGTTAGTAATCATTTCGCTTTGGAAAATTCACCTACATATATAGTATATAGCTGAATAAAGTTTAATCATGACATAAATCTCATTAGATCCTTACTGTTGATGATGCATTAGGGGAAAAGGTGGCATAGCAAGCTTTAATTGTTCTAATTTTCAGTCAGTATTGACACTTATTTGTTAGGAGACAGACAGATGTGATCCTTCGCATGTCTGAGGAGGCCAGTGTGTTTCTCACTGAGGTTCCTCCTCTTAGGAAAGTGATGGATGAGAAGTTCCTGGCAGCTTGTCATCGCCTGAATGACCGCCTGGAAGAGATGGGCTCTCCCGACGACGAAATGGTACCTGCTAACGCCTAACCATGTTACTGTCAGGATTAACGTCACTTTCGGGTTTGGACTGCTGCACAATTTACAGAACTAAGCCCAGGACAGCTGCTTTAGCTGTAAAGTACAAATACAGTGTCCCTTCTGGGATTTGAAGCAACAAACACTTTTTTAAAAGTGTTAAAAACTTATAAACAAAAAGAGAACACAGCAAGAATAAATGTTCTATTTGGTTCCGTAACAGAGAAATGATCGATGATCAAATGGTGCTCTTGTTACCATCTTTGGATCAAATCGGTACCTCAGTATAAACCCAAACAGGGGGGTTATTAACTGGACCAGTGTACAACACAAACACAGAAAACTTGATTAATTCTGCCACAGATGCATGCTGGGAAACCTGGACAGTCGTCTTCTCTCTTGTGTAATAATAAACTCCAGCTTCTCTATGACATGCAGCAAACAGGTGTGCAAATAATGTCACACATGCAGCGCTTTCATTCCCTTTTGCTGGAATTTCCTTAATATTCATTTATAAAAACAGACACACTGTATCTCAACAAAGCAAATGAAGAACTGGTGAAAAAAAAGGCAGTTTGTGTTTTAGAGGCACGGAAATGAATGCATTCTTTCCAAGCACCATATTATTTCCTCCATTCCCTGAGTAAGCAGGATTCTGGAATTGGTAATCAGCTTGATAAATAACTCCGCAAAACTGACTGCAAGCTAAACTCCAGGAACACGGACTGAAAACAAACTGCGGCGTGGAAATTCAGCTAAATCAGATTTAATAAAGATTAACCCTGCTGTAAGGATTCCATGCAAATTCATTGTTATTCTCACATATGTTATTATTTTTTGTGAGTTTGTTTATTGTCTTTCTGTGTGTCTGAATATTTCATATACCCTTAAAATTATTAAATCAAATATATCATCAGAATAAATGTAATTCAGATTTTGGTTATTTACTCTTACTTAAGGATTCATCAGATGGTTAGTAAAATCAGATGGGGACAATTATGCTAAACTAGATCTGACAAGAACTGAAATTCTGCAAGGAAAAGGGTGTTAATAGTCCGTCCGTGAGCATGCTCAGTGGTGTTTTGCCCTCTGCTGCCCTCCAGAGGCAAATCCTGGCCACAGTGTACAAGGAGTGGTTCCGTGTGTCGAGCCGCAGGGCGTCGCGGCCTGACACGGTGGCCCTGTACCTAGGCCAGATTGGCGGGGCCACGCCCTCGCTGCTCCGCATCATCGTCAACCTGGCCGACGGGAACGGAAACACCGCCCTGCACTACAGCGTATCCCACGGCAACTTCCACATCGTCAAGCTACTGCTGGACACAGGTGCCTCAGGCTCCGACCCCCCCCCCCCCCCCGACCCCCCGCATGCGCGCTACCAAACCATGACATTGGGGGGCTTCTGTAAATCCACTATGAAATACGTAGTCTGGGGTTTTAATAATTAAACTATTAAGCCCCTGCTGTACAACAGCATCACCCTTCTGGGATTAGTACCGGCATTGTAACTTTTCAGTCACCTGCATGTGCGAAGATAAGAAGGTCTTTTTATGCTCATGTTATGATGTCAGAACGCTGCACCATTTGGCCCTAATTTCAATATTATTCAAATCTGCTTTTGAATATTCATGAAGGGGACTGTCCGTGGTCGCAGTGGTGTAAGAGATGGTGCAATGTGCTCACCAGGCCTGTGCGAGGTGAACCAGCAGAACGAGGCAGGCTACTCCGCCATCATGCTGGCCGCACTGGCCGTAGCCGACCTCCCCGAGGACGTGGGTGTGGCCATGCAGCTGATGAGACTGGGTGACGTCGACGCCCGCGCCGGCCAGGTACTCCCTGGGGACACCCCACACGCATCACTCACGCACTAACGCACGTCAGCTGGCAATGGGGGGCGGATTACAGCGGGTAAACAATCACGCCGACACGGACGTTCTCACTCGTCAGGCGGAGCCCTAAAGCCTGACTGGAGGGCAGAAGAAATAAACTGTCTGAACCATGTGTACCACTGCTCCTGCACATTACCCAGCAATCCTGATCATTCCACACAGAAAGCACGTGACTGATGTTCTCTGTGTAGGCAGTGTCCTGAGTGACACGTCAATGCCCCAATCAGCATTCAACTACCAGTGTGTACGAGACAGCTATTGGCCCCTAGGTGGGCAGAGCTTGTACCCACTACAAGACGAGTCCTTTACTTTACTTTGCTTCTGGTGGCAGGGAGGACAGACGGCACTCATGCTGGCAGCGAGTCATGGGCGCGTGGCCATGGTGCGCCCCCTGCTGGACTGTGGGGCAGACCCCAGCATGCGCGACCGCAGCGGTGCCACTGCACTCATGTGTGCCTGTGAGCAGGGCCACACGGACGTCGCCCGCCTGCTGCTGGAGTGTGCCCGCTGTGACGCTGGCGTCACCGACGATGTGAGTCGCGTTGCACACGCACACGCATGTGCACACAGATGCAGACACACACCACGTACCTCAGAAGGAGGGGGACCCATAAAGCAGCATGGATGTGTTAGGGTTAGGCAAGTGCCTCAAGCGCAAGTCCCACTAGTGAAATATCCCAGATGCTGAAATGAATAAAACACAAACATGAAATGCAGGTTTTGATCTTTGACATATATAAATGTCACCATCTTGTGGACAAAAACTATTCTTTGTCATTTCACACAGTGCGAACATGTCAGATGAATGTAAAGAGTAAAACCTCAGTTATTTTACCTATATTTTATTCTATTTACTTTATTTCTACTTATTTATTTCTCTTAATTTATGTTTTCTGTGATTGTAAGCACTAATACCACCAAAACAAATCCCCAGTACATGTAGGTGTACCTGACCAATAAGGTGAATTCTGATTCTGATCCCGACCCAAAGATAAATACCAGCCCCGCATGTTCTTTGTTTCGCCTCTGTCATCTGTCTGTCTCCCTCCCTCCGTGGCCTCCCCCAGGACGGCAACACTGCTCTCTCTCTGGCGACAAAGGCGTCCCACTCGGAGATTGTTGACCTTCTGCGATCCCACACAGTCAGCAAGGCCCTGGACACCAGCGTGCCCCTCTGAACAGTCGTCTCATTTTCACCCCATGGGGTAACAAGGCCTCCATTCAGATCACGTGGCACCGAGGCCAGCACCGCTAACCTTAAAAAAAAAAAAATACTCAAATATCTGTGGACATTCTGCTTGAGTCATTTCCATCGGCTGTTGTCCAATGAGAAATGGGCCCTTGTATGCCAATCAAAAAAAAAAAAAAAACAGATGAGAAACTAGAGAGAGTAAAACAGTGTGGACAGTGTGGGTCTTTGATGCTGCTGTGGCACCTCAATTCGAGTTTTTTATGCCTGATAATAGATCATTAGTCACACACAATAACCTCCTTTCAGCACAATGTTTCTGTTTTTGTAACTGTCCCTGTGTTTACAGGATATTTATTGTAAAATACTGTATATTCAAACAACCTAAAGGTTGTGGATGTTTATTATGCATTATATTGCTATGGTTACTCCTCAATCATTTTCTTATGTCACGAAAAGCTATTATTTTGCACCGAGCGTTCTTTATGTAACAGTTGTGTGGCAGATTAACAAGCGAGCAAGGAAACACATCATTCCTGTTTGTTTTAAGGCCCACAATCACAAATGCTTCCAGCAAGGGATTCAATAAAATCAGAGTCAAATTCTATGACTCTCCAACTGTGATGAAAAGGTGTCTTGCTTTCTGAAACAATGGACAGGACATCCTGTTTGGCTTCTGGACACATGGGGGGCCAGAATGGGGAATTTTAAGTGAAACATTGAAAGTTAACTAGGGATGGGTTGAACTTGATCTCAGATTCTGTTCCTAGAGGCACAAAAGTCTGGTTTTGTCTCAAAGAACTAAATAATTCCTTTCATCCTTGATGTACATATTTACACTCCCTGTCTGTTCTCTCGCGGTCTTCCGCTTGCAGTGACTAGTGAGTGTGAAAGGTGAATAAACAAGCACAATTTTGATAACTTTGCTAACTAGTGTATCCTTTAATACGGCATGATTTTGTTACTTCAAAACAAATACATGAGTTGTAAGAATCTTACACAATGGAATACTTTATCATATCAAGTTTAAAAGGGTCTTTTGTTGGAGGTAGTAATGCAGATTATTTAGTATTTCACGGAATGCTGCAAACATCATTTAATTTGATCGTAAATGAGAACTTGGACTTTACATTTCTTCCACACTTAGGTCATTTTAAATAGCTGGATGTGTTCAACCAGAAGTTATTTAAGTGATTAACTTGTATGGGAACCGGCATCTTCCCGGGTGGGGCTCCATATGCAGAAGCACTAAGTTAGATCGGGGACCGCCCCTCCCTTCCCTGAAGATGTGTAGATGAGAAGCCCGGCTCATAAATAGCATTAGTCCCTCATTCGAGTTCCAGTGCGTAGCCAAATCCCCCTTCTCGATGTCATAATACACTGATACCCAATTAACCCCTCAGAAACATCCATCAGAAACTTGCCAGTACCAGCCGAAGACCATGTGGCGCCATAGGCAAGCCTCGCGCCGGTGCTCCCCATCCGCAACAAAGTGAAAATGGCATTTTTGAGTCGGCGCCCTCTCAGATGAAAGCTTGCCTACTTCAGTGTCATTTGGTGGTTCTTTTGGATCGAAACGGCACCACAACGATGCAGAGAAGCCATTTAATTACCGTAAATGACCGCTGTTCCAGTACTGAAAAGCAGGACGTACTTGGATGCAGGATGCATTAGTAGCAGCTAATTAAACGGCATAAGTGATTGCCCTAAACCGCAGTAAACTGTTAAACTATTATTCTCATCACTGCCGTGTTGGTGTCTATTAATTGTCGATTTGCGTTACGCCCCGATGGTCATCGATCCTATCTGGGCACATGACAGACCAGCTGCCGAATTGTCATAATCGCATTCTCACGTAAAAACATTATTTTAAGTTATACACAAATGAGCCCATACTCAGTTACTGGTAAGAAAATGTCTAAAGCTTATGCATGGCCGCAGGCACTGGGATTTGAATGAGCATCACTTTCTGCGACAGCCTGGTCGATGGATGTGTCACCTAGCAAAGGTGATAAACGATCAGACCTTAAATAATCTGTTAATAAACAGACCTTTAATAAACTGCATTAAGAGTCAGGTGAGAACGCAGGAGCTCCGCGGCTCTTTGAGACTCATCTTGCTGGGAAATGACTGAGGGGCGCTCAATACTCCTAATACAGATGCACGACTGCGGGGTACGGATTACGCGCCTGGGGAAATGCTCGTGAATGAACTATAAATAAATTTACCCTATTTAACGGATGCTTTACAGATAGCTTTGGCAACATATCTTACAACAATGGCTTGATTAGATTTATTACCTTCAAGTTTGATATAAAATGGGAAAATTTTTGTCATCTTTAAGACGAATACCTTTAGTGCTGCGTTTGCACCTTGGAGGATGTAACGCAATCCGTTATCCGGTTAACTGAATAACTCAATGAAATCGTAGAAGCAAAGTTCAGCATTATTTACATTGTGCTTCAGGGTTTCCGGACAGAAATGCACAATGACAATGTCTAGGCACGCAAAAAAGAAAATGATAGCAGTTTTGAAAAAAAAAAAAAAAAAACAGTATGTCTTGCACTTGAATATATAAGGACATCTAATGTTAAATGAATTCGCCTCAAACTGTTGTTTTATTCCAAATAACTACCGTATTTGTAATGGAGCTGTTTTAAAATACATCTATATCAATTCCGCAGACTAGCCTCCATTTGTGATCGTGCTAGGATTATGATTTAGTTCACTTCGTATACCTGTATATGATTGACCTGTCCGTACATCTTGCACGTCGTGTGTACATGAAAACGTAACGAATGGCAGACCTTTATAGTCATATTATATGTCTATTGCACACAGACCCCAAAGCAAACACAGCTGACGGTATTTTGCACTACGAAATTTTTAATTGCTTTTTATCTACATTTATATTGCTGTGTAATTACATACCACATGCAAACAACAATTATTTACGTGGCTCTCTGCTCGTTTACTTGAGCACGTTTAATAGCTCGTGTGTAATTATTCCGAGCTCTTTGAATGTGTAATGCAGTTCAGTTCCATTGTTGTTTCTGAGAGTTTAACCATACCGTCCATTAGAGGGCGCCGCGACACCAGTCCAGTCTGGCTTCCTTTGTTGTGCTCGGGAAGCAGTCCAGAGCACCAGTCTAGGGACAAGAAGCATTATTGTAACACATGTATGTTATTCTTAGTACATGTCTATGATTAAGACATTAATTTAATTCATTTTCAATGCATCTTTCTGTTCAAAGTAAATTTCCCAAGCTAGACTTTTTAAAGTAGAAATCAGCCTAACAGCCTATCCCACTACCCCCCCCCCAGTCCCTTTAAGTCCGAAATCAAAGAGGTCATTTAATTTCAGAGGGGGACACAGACCCGGGCACCTGTGCCCCACAATGTGGGCCATTCTGCAGGGATTCATGCGTCACGCTGCACAAGCAGAAAACGACTCAGGAGAAAATGTCAGATCACCAACCTTACAGCGACGGCCACTTCTGGCAGATTCTGCAAATGCTACTGATGAAACGCAGGAGGATGGGACATGCAGCAACACTGGCTGATAATTCAGTTAATAAGTCAGCCTAGCATTTCAGCATCGTAGCCCATGGTGGATAAAAGACAAGGAACTCATAACTTTTCTATGATTTTATATATCAATATAGATATTTGTCAACAGATTGTATTCATTGAGACATGAGTGAGACAGTTTTGGCATACACATCAGACATTTCATGTAGATACAGAGGCCAGGACATAACCCCCCCCCACACACATTTAAAAATGTAAACAAGGCACCAATAAATTAAATAACACCTCTGCATACACATGAATCTACTGTGTCAAATGGAGTAAAGCAATATCCACACACTTAGTTAAGCTTTAAAGGATAACAACCAAAGTAAAAGAAAAAAAAACAAATACTTTGGCAAAGTCATTTCGTGTTACAGTGAAGCAGTAAAGAAATCCTAATGGCCGGGTAAGTTCATGTATGTATGGTCTACACTTCTGTCTAGAATCTTATATACACATTTGCCTTTACAGAAACATTTAAAACCTTATCAAAAATTCCGTCGTATGAAAACATATTTACAAATCAGGATTTAAAACCATATTACAATGATAAAAGTCCATATTACTCACCCATGTTCACACTTACACAGTGTAGTGGGTGTTTTAAAAGGATTCTGTGCAACAAATCGCCATTAAAAATGGATCCTTTAGAGAGGAACGACTGACCAGCTCCAACCCCCCGCCAGCCCCCCATAAAACCTTGTTTATACTGACAAAAAAAGACACAAAAATATATGACCATCCCCCCCAAGTAACACACAATAAAAACATATTATCAACATGACATGAACATTGCAATTAGAATCAGGGAATTGACAGCAAACCCTGGGCCCATTTTAAGGGCAGAAACGCCCACACAGGATACATAAGGGTGATTCGTTGCTGAGATCCAAACAGAGGCCACGGATTGGCCTAGCCGTCCAAACACCTGGCAGCTGACCAATGAGCTCTGGCCCTTTTGAGACACCTGGCCTTTCAATAATGAGGATCTAAGCAGGACAGAGGTCATGGTCGCAGTGGAGGGTAAGATGGCAGAGCAGTAATACCTGTTTCAGTCTCACTTAGAAGACAGCACTGTGGCACACAGGCTTATCCAGGAGACAGAAATGATCTCTTCAAGTTTCACTCTAGCTGCCGGGAGCCCTTCGTTTCATGCTCCGAGGTCTCATAGCAACGTGAACAGCGGGCCGCTTGCTAATCAGCGGACCTCTGCAGGAAAACACCAGCGGCCATCGCTAATCAGAAAAGGAAAAGTTTGTGATTTAAAAAGGTTACTGGACGACAGTGCCTGGCTAAAGTCAGAAGTTTTATAGTTCTTCTTATTTTAGTTTTAAGCTTTGTAGTCCCCAGATACTGTCCATCTCCAACACAAACGCACACTTCAATTACAGCAGGCAGATGGAGGCTGAGGAGGTCCAGAATGAGTGAAAGTTTCACCTCAGAAGGCTTGGGCTGTTCTCTGATAGACAGGAGGCCATCTGCACACCATTACACTTATGCTAATTGGCATTCCCTGGGGTGACCAGAGGAGGCACTGTTGTTTTATCTGGCAGAGAGGCACGGTCCAATCAGAGACATTTAAACACTTAACGGGCAAGGGGCCATTTCCATGACTCACGCTACCTGTCTCACATTGAGGATGCTGTTATTGAGCGGCCCACACTGAGCGAACGTGCCAATTACGTGCGGAAGCCGTGCGAGGACCGCCCACCTGCGGCAACCTGTGCGCCCGCATATCAAACAGATGGAGCAAAGCGAAACTGAAAAGTCGCTCAAAATTAGCCGCAGGCCCCTGTAACCGAAACATGAAGGAGCGCTGATTCGAATGATAAGCAGATCTCCGCGGGAGCTGAGCGCCATACTCACATAGCACGTCATTCCCTCCTTTTGTTCTGCATGTTCGCCATCTTGACCTACTGCATCCAGGCATGGAGGGAAAACAGTGAATGAGCACAAGATACCGGTGAGAGAAAGGAGGGGGTGTGGCCTCTTCAGATGGCCAGATGGTCATGTGACCAGATGCATTTGTATTGATTGGATTCCTATCCCCTTCTCCACAAACTGTATTCATGTGTTGGTTTCACCCATGACTCTACACACCTACTTTCCATTTCCTGCTTGACTCCAAACCTGTTGGCCCCACTGCAGCTGCATCCCCAGTAAACCTCTGTCTCTGGGCCAATTCCCCACGCCGCATGATGGATTGCCACCACAACCAGAGATGTCATTCTTGCTCTCACAAGAATGTGAAATCCTACTGTTCATTTTTCCCAAGTGTGATGCAGGTGGTGGCAATCGTTCATCTCACTAGCCTCACCAGTCCTTGCAACAGTGCCATCTACTGACACGGATGTCCTATGTCACGTTTTACACGTGAGCTGGGGAGGAACAGTTCTGAGATGGCTGGATTCTCCCACATTCAGCCAGCATAACTAGTTAAGGATTAACAACCGTTAATTCTTAAAAAACAATATATCTACATTAAAATAAAAGATCCAACACATAAGAAATATTTCTATATGTTAAAAACACTGCACTAAACATATAAAGTATAAGAAATACTCTCAAAAATATTTTTTGTTAAAAAATGGCATGCTTGTATCATATATTGAAAAATTCAATGTATAATACAGGCACAATATTGCATATATGAAAATGCAAAATACTGTTATACACTTTAATGTCGTGAGTACATTTTAATTCACAATACATTGCTTTCATTGGGTAGCATCAGCATTTTCTCTTTTAATATGTAATCTTTTGCATTTCGTCCCTACCTATATGGCCGCACAACACTTTCATATCTTAAAAGATATTACTTCTATAAGACTTGTCTCTACTCATCTTTTTCATTCGGATCCTTTGTCCAGAGGTTAATCGGCCTTCCATAGCAGTATGAATAATTCAGGAGCTCCCATGAAAGTGCCGTGTTTCATTCAGCCATATATTAAATCTCTGTATCGGCTACCCAGCCTGTAAGGCCCCAACCAGACGGGCAGACGCTGCAGGTTCCACTACGACGATGAGCTTTCTGACACGCTGGCACAGCACCTTGCTCTTCCCAGATCAGTCACCTGCATGGAAAAAGTCACAGCAAGAGCCACTGTGCTGATCTCTGACCGCAAAGCATTGTGGGAGCAGAGTCCCTGCACTGGAGAACACAGCCACGGTCACCAGTCTTCCCCCAGGGAAACACACCAAAATCTCCCCCAAAACCACTCCTTTCTTCTGCTCTCTCATGTCCCTCAGCCTTGCTGCACATTTATATTTATACCTTACTGATACCTTAAACTGACTATAAACTCCAGTGAGGACAGCAGAGCATGCTGGGTAAAATGTTTTCTAGCGAGCAGGGAGCTTAGATGTTACTGAACAGCTGGACCCCAGTTCCACTTAAGGATTCCCCAGGAGACAATGACATTTCAGATGTGAAAGATGTGAACATCAGGGAAAGACTGACCCAAGCGCCCCCTAGAGGGCACCCAGGAAGTGTTAACACATACTAAAAATGCTGCCAGTTATTTTGTCAGCCACTGCAGCTGGCACAATGCGACATAAAACCAGCCAAAACCGGCCCATTGTGTCGACAGCCTCGGATTGAGGGTGAGCCATGCTTTTTGTTCCTCGCCACGCTATCTCCCAAAACGCACAAGACCGCAGGTAGCCAGCTTGACAGCCTTTTTGCCAGCGGGGACACTGGGCAACGGGACGCAGGCCAAGAAGCCAGTTTGGCTCATGGGGGCAGCCCAGTCAGCACCACCGACCTTGCTGTCTAGAAGCCAACACCCGAGAGCAATTTCAGAAGACATTTCAGGATGAAAGATGAAAGGAGCAGCAGACTGCTGCATCCCTGAATGCGTGGGAATGACGTCATCGCAGCCTGTCCCATCTTTCAAGGCGCCGTCCGTGTTTCCGTTCTTTGGAGCTGACGTGCGGGCGGGCCTGGAGTTGAAAAAAAAGGCTGGAAGGTGATTCTGCTTGATCGAAGGCCTCTCATACGTGACATGAGAGAACGAAGCGAGTAACAGTGCTGAAATGCATCCATTTGTGACTGTCATCAAAAATAACACTCTGATTGTTCCCAAACTCTGTATAAAAAATGATTAGGTAAGTTTCTGCAAGTCACCGGGCACAGGCTGGACTGGACGTGACCCGCATCGCCTAGGCGACAGGGTCGCTGTGCATGTGCCAGAGCAGCTGTCCCTTCCTGGCCGAAGTCTCACTTGGTGCCAGAGAGCGCTGGCTGTCCCGCGTACCAGTGTGTCCCCGGGTCAGGCGTACTGCTGCCCCCTAATGGCAGTGAGATGAAGGGCTGACAAATTCCGCCGGTGACTCCGCTGCTTGCTGGAAGGGCTGGGTACACGTGGCCCAGCGACTCGGTCCGGCCGATGTGGATCTCGTCCTCCTCCCCCTCAGCGCTCTTCCGGTACACGGGGTTGTCGAAGTTCATGCTCTTCGTGTTCCTCCGCCGCCAGTTGCGCCAGATCAGGTAGCCACCGCTGCAGAGGAGGCCGGCGACCACTGTAGCAACGACAGGAACTGCATGCGTTTAACACACAGCCCGCCGGCACTGCGGAGCATTAACACGAGCCGATCTGCAGAGGACACGTCAGGACGCATGCATCCAGGGGGCGGAGTAAGCACACTAAAGACGCATACTTATAACTGCTGAGCGAAAGCCTGACTAATCCCTCCAATGGCAAAGTAGAATCTTTATCCATCTGTCATCCACCCTCTAACAGTTTATCTTGCTCGTGATTGTGGATAGAATTTTTATTTAAGTTACAATTTAATTGGTCAGGGCAGGGGATGAGTTGCATTCCACAGGCTGCCGGCAAGACGAGCTATTTCGGCCGTGTGGGTGGGGAGGGGGAGGGGGCACAAAAGGGTAAAGGCAGAAGCGTGATGCGACGGCAGGTTCGGAATACAGCCTGCCCGAGCACAGTGGGGGGTAATGACTCTCTGCCGCCCCCTGCTGAGGGGCCCCCGCACTGGCTGCTTGACCGCTTTGACCGGCAAACAAACCGTAACGTTTCATCAGCCTAAATTATTGGTTTAATGCTGAGTGTCATGAAAGGCCTCAGTCGACAATTACTGCAGACAGTTCGGGGCGAGATGTAGAAACAAAATAGAGAGCTATTTTAGAGAGAGAAAGAGGGGAGCTTAAAGGCGGGCTTTCAGCGCTGGAACCCCACCAGTGCCCCACCTCCCATCATAGGCAGATGATTGACGGGTCCCACAGCCAATGACATTAACTGGTGTCATCATCACTGAATAGCAGTTAGGCTCTCAGGCGGGAAGTTCCCTTGTACGAGGCTGCTCTCTTAATCCGCTCGCACCAGTCATTCTCCTTAAAATGCAGGTAACGTGATCTCAGTGCAGATGAATCCCGGTACAGACAAAACTGCCCTAATCCTGTTACTTCAGGCACTGAGGCTAAACAGGACATGAATAACAAGCAAGAGCGTCGGGCTGAGCGGACTGGGCGGGGGGGGGGGGGGACTGCTGTGTTTTGGCACCTACCTATAGGGATGACGATGCTCAATGCTGCCACCACCTGGTTGCCAAGGAGAAAGTGCTCATTCCCAGCTGGAAAGAGACAGGGGTATTTGAGTTTTTCGAGCGGAGGGAGGGCCTGCCAGTCACTCAACAGTGCAGCGGGCAGAAGGTACCCTACAGGAAGGCATTAACATGTGCTGTACAGCTTTCCCTGCTTAAAAAGCGCCTTCAGAGCTACAATAAGGGAACACGTACCGGGGATTAAAGGCCTGCTCTGCTCAAGCTGGTAGATTCCCGTCTCTTATGATGCCACTTTTTTAATGTTCTATGTCTCGCTGTTACGGATCACTGATTGGGAGCCGCCCTGCGGGGGAGTGATAACCAGCAGCGTGCCGACTCCTGAAAGCGGCTCCTTCGGATGCGGAAATCGCACGCAAGGAGTCCAATTAGTGTCAGGAGCGACAGGCGCCATGTTAAAAATAGAAGTTAGGGAGTCTGGGAACAAAGTGTCATGACTGACCCTTAGACTACAAGGTGTGTGTGTGGGGGGGAGGGGGATAAACCCCACACAGCACAGCGAGTATTCTCCCATCATCCTCGGTGGCGTCTTTGCATGCGACCAAAGTTTTTGAGGGGGGAGATCTGGATTGCATGCATATACAGAAAAGCTAGCTGGATGCCAAAACCACAACTGCAACTGGAGAGTGGAGCGCATTAAAAATGCATTAGAGAAGAATGGCGTCCATTTCCCCTGAAAGGTAGCGGGACGCTCGTGGCCGTAATTAGCTGAGCCACGCACCGCGAGACACCTGCTCGCCCCTTCAATGGAACGCGCTCCTCGGGGCGATCTTAACAAGCTGTAACGAGGGGGTGTGACGGGAACGGCTGGGGGGGTCCTGCTCGCCGCAGACAGGAACCGCACCCCGTAAATCACTGCGGGCCTTCAGATCGCCATGCCCCCTCCCTGCCAAAGCTAGTTATAGCATGTCATGCGACCTCTAAGTGGAGGTGACAGACTCACAGCTGGAGAGCTGCAAGGAGAGATGTGAGAATCCCGTGCTTTAGGGGATGACGCCATTGTGTTATTTTTCATATTCTGGGCTCAAATATTTGGAGATTTAACACAGCAAGGTTGCCTCGGAGTATAACCATAGGCAAGATCTTTACTGATTCTCACAACACTGATGGAGGCTTTACAGATTCAGCATTAACCCCAAACTGCTTTAAAATTCACTCCTACGGTCACCTTTCAGCACATAAGATCCATGATCCTGGTGCTGCCCAATCTCAAGCTGATATGCCACATTACCACATCATTATTACTACAGCTTCCCTCTGGCGCCCTCTATAGGTCATGTCCAGCACCTCACATTCATCACACTCATTTGCATATTCCAGTACTGCAGCAGTTTATCATCCTCCATCCTCCTGCTGGAGTCTGCAGATTTCTATAAGCAGAATTAATTTGTTTTTCTATTAGATTTATTTGCATTATTACCAGTGCACCATTGTTTCGCTTATAAACAGTAACATTTATTTAGTGTGAGGTGAGCGGGCCGGCCGCCTGCTTACAGTGGTGGGACATGTTGGTGTTCTCCCCCAGGGCGCCATCGGGCTGCATGCCGGGGGAGGGCCGCAGGGCCGTGGGGGCCATCCTGCTGCCCGGGCCGGAGGACCAGGGGGCAGGCGTGCGGGTGGAGGTCTTCGGGGACACGGACGCCCTTGTGGTCTCTGGGGCTACTGATGAAGTCTCGGATGTGCCAGCTGAGACGGTGGGGGCGCGCCTGGGGGCCGCGGGAGTCGTTTTGGATTTGATGGGTGGTGAAGCTGAAAGACAAGGAAGCTGGTCAAAAATTAATAGAGCACAAAGTGAGGACAGACCTACTGTCCAGGAACAATCATAGCCCTTAAAAAGACGGACGGATGGATGGATGGACAGATGGGTGATCAGACAGACAGACAGACAGACATTTCATTAATCCTAAAGGAAACTGCAGTATGGAGGCGCAGTGAGTAACACTAACAGCAGACACCTGTCACTCATGTGTGTGGCTTGAACATGGGATGGAGGAACAGCAGTAATATGAAAAAAGGTCATTATACCATGGTAAGTACCGTAATATTAAGGAAATGTTCCTCATTATATAAAAGCACTGAGGCCGGATCTGTACCTCACACGACCCTGACATTTGACTATACACACTTGTTATTTGTATCAGGTTGCCAGATATTGACTCCAGTGCCACCACGCCAGTGGACAGGAGCAGACTGCCAGCCAGTATGGCGGGGGAGATGAGGCGGGGGGCGGAGGGAGCAGTATTGTCCACCTTATTCTCATTTGAGGACGCTCTGCGCTCTTAAAAACCCAGCGACTGTCGGCTCAGTGCCCTGAATCGGTCCCTTTTCTCAGGATTCATGCTACCGTATCGGGCACTGAGCAGCCACAAGGAGGCCTGGCCTGCGAACCCTCGCCATGAGCAGCTCAACCAATCAGCACAGGCGATCAGGCGGCGGGGGAGGGGCTCACCTGGCACACATTTCCGCATGTCTGGACCCAGCTCCTTCCCGTCAGGGCATGCGCAGGTGTACTTGGGGGAGTGCTCCGTAATTTGGGGGGCTTTCAGACACAGGTACTCACACCCTCCATTGTGAACACCCCCCATGTTACAGCTGTCTGGTGCTGTGGGGTCACAGACACAGACACACACACACGACATTAATTTAACCGAAATACACAATTGTTGACAATAATGACAGTCCATGTCTTTATTTTACATTACCTACAAAAGCATACATGCCCATATATTCTGAAAACAGACATGAGTCATGCTTTCAGTCTTAAGAACAAACGGTTTGAGTACATCCACATCACAGAGTCTGCTTCCGCAAGACCCATAAAAACCTTCCTTTACGACCAGTGGAAAGTGGAAGAGATGTTACTGTTACCTGTCCAGCTTGAGAGAGTTATCAGACATTGGTTTCAGAACCTCACTACATCAAAAATCAAGACATTGTTTTTTTTTTTTAAACCCGTGTCTCACAAAGCCCTCGAGCAACAGCGGCTTTTAGCTCCTGATGAGGGGCACACACGGCAGTATAAATCTCTACCCTGGCAGGATTCGGTTTCATAATAGGGAATAATTCACTTTGGTTTCTTTAAAAATTACACCTTCTGTCTGACAAAGCGCATACAAAGGAATCTGTCGGGCCATTCATGAATAATTCATACAGCGATATCAGAACACAGCACGTTTTTCCGTGCCCATGTTAATTGACACACTTTTCACTGCTGCGCCTGTTTCTTTAACCTCTCCAGTTCAGACGCTGCTTTGACTGCATCCGGTCAAACTGCACCACAAAGGAGACATTAGCTATCTGAACCGACACCTTGTTTTTACTGAGTAACAGCAATGTAGGAGTAGGGCAGGAAAAACACTCACACATACTTAGACACACACACACGTACTCCCAGCACTCGCACACTCACAGCACGCACGTACGCCACACACACACTCGCAC